CTATAAATAAAGGGTGTGGTTTGTATAAAGCTGCCTCTTTATACTGTAGAAGTAAGGCATACCTATAAAATTTATTTAGAAATGTTGTTATGGTGTCCAAAACTTTATGATGGCTTCAAAATCTTTTTTTATCCTTAGTTATAAGTTTTAAAATTTATAGTAAATAAATGGCGTGTGTAAGAATGGCATGCAGTAAATTTGGAAATAGATGGCGTCTTTAAGAAAAAACGTATTCATGGCATGTAGTAATTTTGTAAATAGGAAAATGACCCTGTGCATCCCTCACTCACCGAAAGCTTTAAATAAATTTGGCTCTCGTCATTTGATTTGTCTCTCGCTGTTAAATAAATATGGTGTGATCATCTTGGGGTTTTTATTGGGAGTAAAGTGTGTGAATGGGCTGAGGTATTTGGGATTTAAGATTTGGGTTTTTGGGGTAAAGAGATGTAAGAGATGTGAGAGAAGAAAGTATTTTTTAATCGAGATTCACCGATAATAAAGCATTTCCATTACAAAGAGGGAAGGAAAGTCGGAGAAATAGTGAAAAACGTACCCATTGCAAATCTTTGAATACAATGGATAAGCATTTGGAAGCAGACGATGATTTGGCCTCTCCCCTACCATGTACTAGACCGGTCTTTCCCCTTACTATAGAAGAGTATGATAACCCTTTAGATCTCCATCATGACCACGGTTCGTAACCCCATACTCTATTGCAATTTTTGATTGCGACCCATCCACCCAAGGTGAAGCTTCGTCTTTGACAATTGTCGTGTAAAGACTGCAAACCGTCTGGGGGGGGCTCCCAACTAAATGAATCTTTAATTGTGTTTCACTCTCTTTCGCTCTCTTCCCCAAAAGGTCCAATAATACAAGGACACTTATGATTTTCTCTCTCACACTCTCCATGGCTTTTTTTTATTATTGTAATTTCTTTATTGTAATATCATTGTATATTACAAGGACATTTATGATTTATGTACATTAGAGTAAGTGGGAATGAAATGACATTACTAAAAATTACCCATGATATCCCCCACCTACTTGTATTCAATTCGCGATGAGAGGGAGGGTAAATGGATTACACCACTTGAGAGGTAAACTTACCTCACGCGAGAGCAAAATGGTGATTACGTAATAGCAAATATAATAAACATTGAATTATTCGTTTACCTCGAAATGGAAATTAGATCGCTTGTTGAGTTGTCGAGTGTGACCCGTACCCATGTTCAATCAGGGTTTACCCTAACATATCAACCTTGAAATTTATTATTTCCAGTTTTATATATCTTGTTGTGGTTTCTATAATGTTGCAACCTTAAACAATCCATTTAAGATGCACCACCAAATTTTATCATATCATGTAATTTTGGTGAAAAAAATTCTTAAGATTATCTGAATTTCAATATAAGATTTATCCAATAAAGAGTAAATATACAATATGCTAATGCGAGTTAAAGACCACATCTTCAAAATTTTCCCTTCAAACCATAAAGTGGCTTGACTTGCCTTTAACAACA